TTATTATTATTATTATTATCTTTGTTGTAGAAATGTAAAAATGCTATATGGGATTATTGTATTTAATAAAATTAGAAAATAAGAGAAAGGAAGAACTAGATGAATGGGGAATGAAAATTGGAAAATTGGAAAAATAGAAAACTTAAAGAATGGGGAAGGAAAACTGGAGAAATGGAAAAATGGAAAACTGAAAATGAAAAAACAGAGAAAAGAAGTAAACTATCTCTTAATATTTCTTTTTTCTGTTGTGATGGCTCTCCGAGTACCAATAGGAGTAACACAAGGATTTGGAGCCCTGACAATGTATTGAGGACCAGGAGTGGTGCTCCTTGACAAAAGCCTAAAGCAGCAGCATATGAATATGATGTGGGTGACGCAACGTGTTGCACAGCAAATGAAACTTGATCATTTGTTGCAGACCTTAAAGGATCTGAGGATGAATAATCGTGATGAAAATTAGGAAATTCAATTTTAGCTGAAGCCAAGGTATCACCACTATTATCATAGTAACTGTTCAGGAAATAAGAAGTTACATTCATATGCATGCATAGTTGAGATTAAAATTTTCCTCTTTATTTTCAATGTAGTATACAGAAGAAAAAAAAATGGTCCATACGCATGAATAGTTGAAAAAAGGTACAAAAGTTTTAACTTAAGTCTCAAATTGAACAATTTTTCCTTGAACTTATATGGGTGGAATGCCCGGAGATACATAACATTCATCAGGAATTACTTAAAATCATTAATCCAACTACCACATTTCCCACAAAATACAAAGTGAGACAACAGAGTAAAAAGAAAAATTTAAGTAATGCACCCGTATTTAGTAAAAAAAAAATAAAATTATAAGGCATATCAAAACCCAATGAAATAAGGCAAATAGGGAAGAGAGCTAACATGAAACCTAGAAGACTGCTTAAAACTCAAAATCAAGAAACAAATGAAATTTAACAAAACTTATTATGTAATAAAAAACAATTTACTCAGAAAAAATATCTTTATCAATGAAATAACGCAATATACTTTGAAAACATAAAGACTATACTTAAAACTCAAAATCAAGAAACAAAGATAAATATCACTAGTATAAACTTATTATGTTAAAAAAAAAAAAAGTGACTCAAGAAAAATTTAAGTACAATTATCTTCATTAACAATTATGGGAGAAAAAAGGAAGTACAAAACATCTAACAAAGGTATGTGGTCATAGCTTTAACCTTTCTTTCTAATCAAATTTTATTTTCTTCATGAACCTGTTTTTTCAACAATATAAATCCAACAAAAGTTAAATAACAGTTTCGACATACGATTCAATATTCTGTTCTAATTAATAAAAGAATATACAATCAATATCTGAAAAATTAAATTAGTTTGAATAGGAAAATAAGGGACTGTAAAAACTAGAGTTATACTAAACCACAACTCTTATCTTTATTGTAACCAATGTGCAGTGTTTAAGTGTTGAATTCCTATGCAATCTGTAAAAAAACAGATTTAGACAAAATATTTGGTAAAGAATAGAAGAAAGAAACAACCATAGATCTACAACAATCAACAATTAGATGGTAATCACAAAGTAAGTAGATAAAAGTCAAGTAATGAAGGTTACCATAGCATGCATCTGGAGCTTTCCCCTTATAAAATAAGCTTTGTTCTTAAAAATTTTATTTTGTATATCATTTAAATACCACATAATAATCATTGATGTTTTTATATATAAGAAACTCTAATTTCTTAAACAATATCCAATTTTATTAAATGATTGCAAAGAAGTTTTGGTATTAACTCTTTTTAAAAATATTATCAATAATAAAGTTATTTAAATTTTATGGCGTGCATCGCACGGTGCCAAATATATTGTTCCCACTTCGTTCTTCTGGCTAATCTTGAAATAAATAAACACCCATTTTTACAACAAATTACTAGCTTTTCTAAATTATTATACAAAAAGTATCAACTATAAAATGTAAAGTTAGTGGAAATAATAATAAAAAAAACTGTTATTAATAATTAACTAATTAATTAATATGTAGTAAAAAGAATAATTGACTGAGAATAAAAATGACACAAAATTTAGGCCAATTGAAAGAGGAAATGACTATTAGTAATTGACTGAAAATGAAAAATACTTCCAAACTGACTCAGTATATAGAAAGAATATTAATCTCGGTTATATATTTTATAAAATATAAAGTTACTGGAAATATAAAAAAAAAAATATGTATATATATGTTACTGAAATATAGTTATGTAAAGATATATATATTTAAAAATTGAAAATGAAATAGAATCATTTATTATCCACAATTTATAAGGAACTTTTGTAATTAAAGATGGAAAATGTTTTGCAATACGAGATTGAAATATAAAGTTTAGCCGAGATGGAAAGAATATTAATCGATATGGAAATTAATAATTTTTACACCAAATGTTATTTTATACTAAGAATATAAGGATTGTGTAATTATAAGGTTTATCCGAGTATGTCAAAAAAAAAAAAAAAGTTTAGCCGAGCTGGAAAAAATATTAATCTCGGTTATATATTATATAAAATGTAAAGTTACTGGAAATATTAAAAAAATGTGTGTATATATGTTACTGGAAATATAGTTGTGTAAAGATATATATTTACAAATGCAAAATTGAATAGAATCTTTTAGTATCCACAATTTATAAGGAAAATTGTGTAATTAAAGATGGAAATATTCTTGCAATACGTGTTAATGATTCAAAAGAAATTAATTGTGACTGATTTTGTAGCACATCTTTATTCAAAATTATAGGACCTCATTACAATACACATATATAAAGATGTAAAATTATGTATAGAATGTGTAAGGAAGATGTTGCTTAAAGATGGAAAACAAATTAGACCAATTGGAAAAGGTAATGAATATTAATAAGTCACTCAAAATTAAATATGATCCCCATATATAATTCACTGAACACTGATATTAAAAATATCTGAAGTTTCAGCATTTAATGCGTACATCTACATATTGACTATTAATTTTGGGCAATTATTTGATTGAATTCAAGCAACGATAACATTAGAAAATACAATCGATCGAACTCAATTCATCAATTGTATTATATAATATTTGATAAAATAATTTATATAATTATATATCGATCCAAATATTCTTAAAATATTTTAACAAATCCATTCCGTGCATCGCACGGGAACAAATACTAGTTTGATTAAATTACATAATACTTCTCTCTCATTTAGAGGAAAGCTTTACTCAAAGGTGCATAATCGGTCTTGTAACCGTAACAGGTAAAAGATCACAAAAATAAATCAGTCTAAATTATCTATAATTAATCGACTCAAATCAATAAAATTAATAAACAATTTTTATGAAAAATTAAAATTAGAAATTTGTGATTATCAAACTAATTGTCCAATTAAAAATTACATAATACTTAGTTAAATGGAAAATAACATTAAAATTCAACATATAAATTCATCAAATTGGCAAAAGTTGAAAATTACATAATACATCGCATCTTACCAAAACTTATCTTTCTAAGTCAAAATTTTACACAATATAAAATTCCATTAAATGGGTTTGTTGGTTTGAACAATTGACATATTCTAAGGTGTTTAAACAAATATAAAATTGAATTAAATGGATGGGTTTGTTAGTTTCAACGATTGACATATTCTAAATTGTTTAGATCACCTCAAAGAAAAAATTGTTTAGATTGTTAATTTTTTTTTTTTTGTTTTTTATAAAGGGTTATCTTTTAATCAAGAACTAGCAATTTGCTAATGACTTTGTAGTTTAATGATATGAAGTAGTTCTCTCAAATGAAATCTTAATGGGAACGGTATTAACTATGCATGGAAAAAATATTATAAATATATCTATCTATCATGTTTTTATAGTATACAAATGTGGTATAATTTTTAAATCATTTATAAATTATAAATAAGGTATGTAAAAGTTATTAATTTAAATATTGATTTTACTTGTGGTTATTAGATCCTTATCAGTGTGTTCTATTTGTATACCAAATCTCTGATTATATGGTAACCCAATCAGAGTTAGTTAATAAAATGGAATTATATTAATAATAATAATAATAATAATAATAATAATAATAAAAATAAGAAGAAGAAGAAGAAGAAGAAGAAGTGGTGGTGGTAGTAGTATAGTCTGATAGTGGTGGCGGTGGCGGTTGCGGGAGCGGGAGCGGTAGCGTTATGCTGTGGACCCGTGTCCCATGTACATGATGGACACGCTGTACATTCATAATTTCTATATTGTACATTCATAATTTCTATATTATAAATTCATAATTTCTATACTGTAGATTCATAAAATTTATAATGTAGATTCATAATTTCTATACTGCGCACTCATTATTTTTCTGTACTGTAGATTCGTAATTTCTATACTGCACATTCATAATTTTTGTACTGTAGATTCATAATTTCTATACTTAGATTCATAAAATTTATAATGTAGATTCATACAGTACAAAAATTATGAATGTGCAATATAGAAATTGTGAATTTACAATATAGATTTTATAAATCTACAGTATAGAAATTATGGATCTACAGTTTAGAAATTATGAATTTACAGTATAGAAATTATGAATCTACAACTTGTCCATCATGCACATGGTGGACACGGGTCCATAACATAATTTGTCGTGGCGGCGGCGGCAGTGTGGTGGTGGTAGTGATAGTGAACTAGTGATGGTTGAAAATTGAAAAATAACTTCTCAAAAAAAGATGGGAAATCATTTTCCAAAAAAATAAATGTATTTTCTTTTGACCAAATGCTTATTTTTCTTTGACTCACTTTTTTCACTCACAAAAAATTCAAAAAATATTTTTCAAAAATCAGGTTTCCAAACATACCCTTATTGAATATTAAAATGTAAGCCATATTGATGCCAAATGATACTTCAAACACAAATCATTTATTAAGCCTGATTTACTAAACATAATCTAATGTAATCCAAAATGACACGACCACATATAATCTGATTAATGTCCATTTGTGGAGTCCAGTGAAGATATTTGCGTGTTGCACTGTAATAAGGAGGCCAGCCCTCACAATTCCTTCACTCCTGTCTCTATTCTCTGCAGAAAAAAGCTCCAAGATGCAGACTTTTATCACTTTTCTTCTTCTTTCTCTCCTCATCGCTTCATCGTCGTTTTCCGGTGAGTTTCAACACGTAAAACCCATCTCTTCTAGCGTACTTTTAGTATAGTATTCATGTATCATATATTGATATGATCTATCTGACACTGTTTGGATGAATTTTCAGGCGCAGAAATTACACGGAGAATAGGAGTATGCTTTGGGCAACTGGGGAATAATCTGCCCAGTCCAGCAAAATCTGTGGAGCTCATCAATGGGTTGAAGGCTACGAGGGTTAAGATCTACGATGCCAACCCGAAGATCCTGAAATCCCTGCAAGCATCATCCCAGCTTCAAGTCTCGATCATGGTCCCCAATGGCCTCATCCCCAGCATCTCCTCCAACCAAACCTTGGCGGACCAGTGGGTACGCACCAATGTTGTTCCCTTCTACCCCAAAACCATGATCCGTTACCTCCTCGTCGGCAATGAAATCCTGAGCAACCCGCCTAACACTACCTGGTTCCAGCTCGTGCCGGCCATGCGCAAAATCCGGCGATCTCTCGCGAAATTCCGGCTCCGGAAGATCAAAGTGGGGACTCCTTTGGCTATGGATATGTTGGAGTCTTCATTCCCGCCGTCCAGTGGAACTTTCCGGTCTGACCTTTCCGGCCGGGTTTTCCGGCCTCTGTTACAGTTTTTGAATCATTCTAGATCCTTCTTCTTCTTCGATGTCTACCCGTATTTCGCTTGGGCAGCTCAGCCTAAGGATATTAACCTTCGCTATGCTCTAATGGAGCACACTAATATTACTTATTCGGACCCGGGTTCGGGTTTGACGTACACCAATTTGTTGGATCAAATGATCGATGCGGTTCATTTCGCGGTGAAGCGATTAGGGTTCCCGGATCTCCGCCTGTTTATTGCGGAGACGGGTTGGCCCAATGCCGGCGACGCCGACCAAATCGGAGCGAATATTTACAATGCCGCCACGTATAACCGGAACGTGGTTAAGAAGTTCACTGCCAATCCGCCGGTGGGGACGCCGGCCATGCCAGGCGTGGTGTTGCCGGCGATGATATTCGCGTTGTATAACGAGAACCAGAAGCCGGGGCCGGGAACGGAGCGGCATTTCGGGCTGCTACACCCCAACGGCAGCAACGTGTACGAGATTGATCTGTCGGGGAAGACGCCGGAGTCGAAATTCAAGCCGCTGCCGAAGCCGACGAACGACAATCCTCCGGAAGGGAAATTCTGGTGCGTGGTGGCGCCGGCGGCCAATAAGACGGCGGTGGTTGACGCCTTGAATTATGCATGCGGGCAGGGTAAAGGGACCTGCGACCCGATTCAACCCGGTGGCAAATGTTACCAGCCCAATAGCCTGGTCCCACATGCCAGCTATGCGTTTAGTTCTTACTGGGCCCGGTTTAATAGCATAGGTGGGACCTGCTACTTCAATGGCCTTGCTATCAAGACTACAAAGGATCCTAGTAAGTACCCAAATTTCCACTCCCATTTCCTTCGATCATTATTGTGTGGACGAATATATTTTGTATATTGTTAATAATGTATATTCAGTACAAAAACAATGTACCTTCAATATAAAAATAATGTACGTAATGTACATTATTTTTGTACTGAGTGTACATTATATTGTATAATGTATATACAATACAAAAATAATGTACATTTAATATATTAAAAATGTACTTTTTGTTGTGGTTCGCATAACATTGTGTGGACCATGGTCCATACAATAATTTGCCCATTTCCTTGGCAAATTATTATGTGGATCCAGGTCTAATTTACATATTGAATGTTCATAATTTTACATACTAAATATTTACAGTTTACATATACAATTATATACAAAATGTTCACAATTCAAATTGTGAATAATTTGAATATTCAGTATGTAATTTGTGAACATTCAATATCTAAATTGTGTATTTTAGACCATGCTCTACCTTGCAAGGTGGACCCGAGTCTATGTATAACAGTTGCATTTCCTTTATCTTGCGTTTTTGCATCATGTTAAAGAAGTGATGAGAAAAATTCATAATCATTATGTGTGCACTAGATAAACCTTGCCTTGTGGTCCTAACCAGCAAAGGACCACAAGGTAGACCAGTCTAGGTTGCTCGACATCCTAATCAGCAAAGAATTACAATGAAGTAAACCAGTCCGGATTGCCCATAGTTGAATTGTTCAAATCAAGAATGTATAACCTTGTGGTTATAAGTGAACACTCGAGTTGCCCCTAACATTGTCTATTTTAAATCTACAGGTCATGGTTCCTGCAAATTTCCAAGTGTTACCCTTTGAAGAAACATCAACATTTGGTAAAATTTTTGATCGAGCAAGATTGTTTAGTCATTTGGTAAAATTTTTGGTCGACCAAGATCTTTTTAGTTTCAATTAGATTATATGGAGAGTAGAGGACCCCAAATTCACTTGTACCCCATTTTATATGCTACTCTATATTATTTTGGGAATTTATTAGTATATTCTGCAATTATAACTTCTGTACATGTGTTCTTGAATCTTGACAACCTATTAGCATAGCAGGCAAGCCCAGTAATTGCTCAAAGCAGTTGGAGGGGAAATGAGTTCAGATGTCAACTTCTTAGCATGATGTCAACTTTATCCATTTAATTTATAAAATGGATGAAGTTGATCAGAATAGCAGAAAACTATGACATCAACATTTTTCTAAAGCTCTATTCTAATCTTAATCTGAACTGATTCAATGTCTCTTCCTAACCTCGAATGTTTGTGTTCATATCGGTGTCTATATTCAATTATGCAATCTTTATCAACATTGATTAATGAAGAAAAAAAAATACGAAAATAACTTTGGGTAGCAAGAATCAGAGATAGGAATGTGAATGGCAGCTGGAAAAAAGTCAACTTTGTGAGTTGAGGCATGGCTGGAAAGCTTATATATGCTAGCTTGAAGGTATTTTCCTGATACGAAATCTTATCAGAAGATTTCGAGAAAAATCGTGTTATATTGTTATTTGAAACCGGGAATGCCTGTTTCAGGATGTTTGAAGTTTGATCTTGCTGAAACTGGAAGCAGAAAGTGCAAAGCCAATTTGATCTGAAGATTCAGAAAAGTTTTCTTTGTCCTTTGATTCCTAGGAGATTTCCTTGTATACCTGGTAACTTCCTAGTATCTCCCTTTGCTCTTATTCTATATGTCTATTTGTATCTGCAGAAGTGGTGAAAATTAGTCACATGGACACACATGGAGTGAGCATAACAAGAAAAAAAACAATGTACTTTAATCATATGATTCACGAGGTGGTCAGATGATATATACTAAAATAAATGCACTATTGAGCTTTAAACATTTTAAAGTTCCAATATACTGCAGAGAGTCGAATTTCATAATCTCTGAAATCTGAAGCCAAAAAAAGTAACTCCCTCTTATGCCCCCCCATCTCGCCTAGAAATCTCTGTTCTTGAACATCTGAGCAGGAAAAACGTGAGCTTTGTGAATTAGGGAATGGCTGGGAAGCTTATGCGTGCTGTGCAGTATGATAGTTGTGGTGGTGGAGCTGCTGGGTTGAAGGTATTTTTTCCTCCCGTCTTGTTCTATGTTGTTTTAAGGATTGTGTTTTTCAACATTCTTCGCTCGGTTCTGTTCTTTTCTTGATCCCTCTGTCGTGTTCAAAGACATGATCCTTAATCATGCTCTCCTCGATTATTTCCTTCCGTTTTTGCAGCATGTTGAAGTTCCTGTGCCTTCTCCTACCAAAGGTGAGGTCTTGCTGAAGCTGGAAGCCATAAGCTTGAATCCAGTTGATTGGAAAATTCAGGAAGGCCCTCTTCGCCCCATCTTTCCTCGCAAACTTCCTCACATCCCAGGTAAGTTCATGCTCTGTTGTCTAGTCTAAACTGATAGTCGGACTACACATCAATATAAATACACGTTTTATACATTATATGCTCATTGCTCAACACTAGAAATGACCATTCCAGTTTATTATAACTCTCTTGATTTCTCTTGGGCGGAATAGCAACTAATGTAGCAGGAGAGGTAGTGGAGGTTGGGCCTGGTGTCAAGAATTTCAAGGCAGGTGACAAAGTTGTGGCAGCACTGAGTCTTCGTGTGAGTTTTCTGTGTCCCTGATAGTGAAACTATACGTTTATATTTTATATATTATATGAATTTTTTGTATTTCCAATAATGAGACTGGATGTTTATAAGTTCTATGTGTTCTTGAGACTGAATGTTTATATTTTATATATTATATATTTATATGTTCTACTGGTTTTTTGCTCTGTTTTGTAATATAGTTAGCTTATGAACTAATTTTAGCTTGTTCAAGCACTATTAACTGTTTGACTTGATTAAATAATCAAATATGAGTATTTGGTTAATCAGCTTTATGTAATAGTTTATTGCTTCAAAATGTTAAATTTTAACTATCAGTTAAAAATTAATTTACAAAACGTCTTTTTACAATCAACTAATGTTATTAACTAGTCAAACCCACTAATCCAATAGGCGGAATACTCTGGTGATAAATGGTTTTGTTTTGAATCTTAATTAGTGTTGGTGATCTTGATAACAGGATGGGGGTGGCTTAGCAGAGTATGCGGTGGCTAAGGAGAGCTCGACAGTTCCACGGCCGCCGGAAGTATCCGCCGACGCTGCAGCGGCGCTGCCAGTGGCGGGAGGAACCGCCTACCAGGCCCTGACGGAGATAGCTGGCGTCAAGCTGGACGGCGGCAGCTCCAGCGGTCCTAGGAAGAACATCCTCGTGACAGCCGCCTCCGGCGGCGTCGGCCACTACGCCGTCCAGCTAGCAAAACTGGGGAACGCGCACGTGACGGCCACCTGCGGGGCGCGCAACATTGATTTCGTGAAGAGCTTAGGCGCGGACGAGGTTCTGGACTACAGAACCCCGGAAGGCGCGGCGCTCACCAGTCCGTCCGGCAAGAAATACGACGCCGTCGTCCACTGCACCACCGGGATCCCCTGGCCGACGTTCGAGCGCAACCTCAGCGAGAACGGCAGGGTGATCGACATCACTCCCGGCCCAAACGCCTTCGGGAAATTCGCGTTGCAGAAGCTGACGTTCTCGAAGAAGCAATTGGTGCCATTGTTGTCCTTCCCTAAAGCTGAGTACATCGACTGCCTTGTTAAGCTGTTGAAAGAAGGGAAGGTGAAGACAGTCATCGACTCCAAGCATCCATTGAGCAAAGCTGAAGAGGCTTGGGCTAAGAGCATCCAAGGACATGCCACAGGGAAGATTATTGTGGAACCTTAAAAAATTGTTGGTTTCATATGGATGTTTGTTGTGTATGTTCATATGTTCTCTGGATTGTTTGATTGTTGCAATGTAACACAAATCTCTTTGCTTTCTCCTTTTAATCAAAAACATACTTAATATATTTATCCGTAGACTAATAGATACTCCGTATATAAATTAGTTTTTTATCTGGTTTTGTAATCTTAATGGATTAACTTAAACTAATAAGACCAACAGACTATTCAGAGTAAGTCAAACTTAGAACCTACCAACTCAGTTGATATTCTTTTTTTAAGTTTTGACTGTTTGATAACCCATAGGGTAGCCCCTACTTATGAAGTCTAATATAACCTACTTGTGTGTGTGTGTTTTTTTTTTTTAATATTTAAAAACTTTTGAATCCCTCTCAAATTCTTTTTTAATATCGTAATATGATTATTGAATATTACTCCGTATAATTCTTTAAAAGATAAAATTCATGTTAAAATAAAAACAGAATGGAGAGAAAAGGAGAATCGCATATTCATTCATCTGTATTTTTCATAATATTACAACAAAACATATATATAATATACATTTGTAACGGAAGGTAATAATGGTAGACATAAATGTGACCGTTACATCAGTTACATAATCAACTCATAATGTCCACACTTAATTATATTTATAACACTCCCCCTTGGACATTATAACACCACAATCTTGCCTCATTAAAAACTTGCTAGGAAAACCCTGTGGGAAAAACCTAAACAAGAAAAGAGTACAAGGTATATGGATAGCATACATTCATGCCTCATTAAAAACTTCATTAGGAAAACCACGTGGGAAAAACCTAGTTGAAGAAAAGAGTACATGATATATGAAAAAACATATATTGTATTTGGCCGCCTCATTAAAAACCTTAACTTAAAAAAACACTGTGGGAAAAACTTAGTTAAGGGAAAAAGAGTACAACCATAAACCTTCAGGGCGCAAACTGCATAATCTTCAGGATTTTGGGGTTTGTCGACTGAAGCAATTATTTTGTAACATTTTCCCATTTACATTATTATTTCATACTCATGCCTCGTTAAAACCACACTAGAAAAACCCAATGGGAGAAAACTAGTGAGGAAAAGAGTACATGATATTTATGTATTTATGCGTTGCAAATAGTGCGCAACTGTTAGTCTTTTATGACTTAATCTTCAGGATTTTTCGTTCAATCTTCCGGATTGATTCAAGTAAATGTACTTCCCGTCTCCCCTTGAAGATAACAATCTTCAAGTTCGACATGATAAAATGTATTTCAAAATTTGAAGAAATTGATTGGACAAATCTTCTGGATTGTCACTAGAGTAAAAATCTTGTACAATAATCATATAGCTCTTCTAGAGCTCATATAACATTGGTGCAACACAAGTGTTATTGCCCTCATTTTGATCATTTAGGGAAATTCATTGTATAACCAGTTTGGACTTGGCATTGCAGGGATCAAACACAATAGTCAGTACCCAAGTAGCCTATTAAACATGTATCATGGTTTCTTACATAAATGTCATGTCTTTGTATCTCGAAGATACCGGAGGATATGTTAATCATTATTCAAGTACTTCATTTGTAGGGGGAGCACTAAATTTTCTAGCAATTTCATCGCAAATATGTTGCGATTATGAAACTTCTGGTTCTAAAATGGTGCTCCAACGATAATGAAGTAAGGGACTTCGAGTCCAAAAAGGTTCCTTATCTGCTTCAGGAGATTATTAGGCAACCTTTAGTTTGATAAAAACATGACACTTATATGCATATAGACATGTGAAAAAGCATTTTTAGATGTAGGCTGACTGGTGTATATATAAAAAAAAATCTTCAAAGAAAAACTCGATCTTCAAGTCGAGATAATACTTATAGCTTTCACAAGCTTTTTATTTCAAAAGTCTCAGTCTTTAAACATGAACTGACATTATCAAGCTCTTTATATATTTCATTGATGTTTACACCATCAATCTTGACTGAGATAATAAATAATAAATAAGTTCATTATCAACCCTTTATCAAGCACATAATGGTACATATTATTCCTTCAATGAGGATATTAACTCCATTCGCAACCCTTTAAATAGTAAATAATGACACATAATAATACTTAAATAAATCCTCATTTCGAGAATTTTTGAATCCATCAGGGATTTCTCAAAAATAAATTTAACTGCATATCTAAATTTATTATTCTGCCAATTGTATTATGTAGCGGAACTTAATGTCATTTACCGTGGGAGGGTATATTTGATTAAAATCAATTAAGGGTCTCTACGTGAACCCATAGGCT